GAAATATTGGATTGGGTTGATGATCTGATAGTATGATATATTGATTAGCGATAGGACGATTAATTTTGTTTCCTGAAAGCGTAAGCGCAAATCGTCTTTCAGATTAATTTTTGGTTTTCAGTGTCGTCATTAGAACACTTGCTTTAACAGACGTAACATTTTCAGCAAAAAAACTCACAGATTTTAAGCGAGAATTTAATTATAATCAAAATGACAGATATTTAGCCATTTTAGCTACACCATTTGAGATCAATTTTGACCATTAATTAAACAAATTGAGATCCCCGGGGCTACCAAAGATGACCACCGAATTTAAGATATCATGCTTTTTAAAATCCAAATTAATTGTTTTATTTCTATATTGTTTTGTCATCTGTCGTATTTGTTATAAGATATCTGTGGGCTTTTTTACAAACCATTCCAGTTTTAAGATAGCTATATAGGGATTTTTTTGTTCTGTTAAATAGATTGTAACCTAGGTCTAGATGCTTGCGGATCTTCTTTGAAAACATCTAAACGTTACTTTAACACTTAGAAGCTATTCCAGCATGGCCCTTTTCAATAGTTATTTACTTACACCGGTATTTACAAATTTCAATACAAAAAGGAATCAATTGTTTCTTTATTGCTGTCGACACCGCGTTGGTCGTAAAAGACTTGATGAAACAAAATGGCGCTTATTGTATAACTGCGTTCCACTACAATGTAAACAAATAATTATAGATTTGGTCTGCATATCCATGGCCATTTGCCGAATTCCCGTCCATTGTCTTCGACGCTTCTTCGTTTCTCTCTTGCACTGAAACGATCGACCAAGAGGAAATGGTAAATGTTATTATAGTCGAACTCGATCAAATATTTGCATTTCTACATAGCTCAGGGCGGTGTCCTTTGTTTAACGTTCTATTCGTGTTATTGTTATTTGCCAATAACCTTGTTCACTGAAAATCTTCTCGGAAGGTAGCTAACATCAGAATAGAAACAAACTGTGTCAGTAATAATGAACTTATTAAACTTACCGCAGGCTTATTTTGCAAGTTGAATGTATATAATTAGATTTTTTCCTGGTCATTTGAAACATCCAGATTTCAGATAAAAAATAAATTCTGCTGGTCGAAAATATTATATTTTCATTTAGCTTAATAGAATGTTTATAGATTTTTTTTTAAAAAAATGAAAATGAAATGAAATGGGTTTAATATCCTACGTTTCGGTACCGAAAGTTCATCAAATTTAGGTCATTTCATTTTATTACATATCTGACATCTTGTTTCGCCCGCTTTGACGGTCTTTTTTCGTATTTGCCTTGCTGTTACGCCATCAAGGTTTTGTTTTATTTGTTATTATATTGGGTATTAAACAGGTGTGTTCCACGTTACGTTTGGTCATTTGCATTCGTGTCTATTTCTTCAAATGCCGTCAATGTGACATACGTGTGTAGTCTTTAAAAAAGGAGGAAGGTGTTGCCAACGAATCTTTTAGATGGTCATACCCGTTTCGTTATGAAACTTATATATTTACTTCAATATTAATCTAAAAAACGTATTACAATGGAGTGTCTTATTATTACCGATCTTCAAAATTTTGCTGTTTTGTCAATTATGCTATAAATACGTCCGATGTTACAATAAAGCAAAAACATTTATATTTGCTCAGTTATAGATCCAACCCTAAATCAAAACCCGTAACCTGAAATTGGAATATTGTACATGTACAAAATACCATAGTGTTTGTGGACAATCGATAGGGTTCGGTAACTAGAAAACAATCTCAGTAAGGTAGATAACAATAATCTCCAAGAAGTTCGATCTGAAGAGCATCTTAATCCAAGATTCTGGAAAAAAAAGCAGTTATTCAGACCTCATCAGAGGCACTGAAACAGTCTTAAACACAGTTGCAAATGAACTGGAGCTCAAGATGTGCCGATACGTGTTGTGTGTCACTGCTGGTACTATTAGATTATTTTTCATCTCGCAGTCAGTTTGTAGTGGTCAATTCCGATAAATCTAAAATGTTACTCTAGTATGTGGTTTTCAACAAGATTCTGTACTATGTTCACGCACCATTTTGTCACACCCGATTCTGGGCCAGCACTCCCCCGAATCCCAAATCTTACAATAAGAATGCCAGAGGATCCTAATATTGCTGTATAACCCCAGTTCTCCAAATCCAATTCCTCGGAATGGATTTAAATACTCTGTCTAACATATAAGTGCCCCACTGTTCAAGTCCCGCTTAACAAGATTAACAAAATATTTGAGCCAAACAATTTTCGTAAATTGTTGCACTCTGCTACTGTTAGGGGTCCGCGCGGGTTCATGATGACGCGGTTTGTCGCCGGCTACGCCCTGTCGGACTACGTGCCAGACAACCTTAGGTTGGTCCAATTTTGACAATGTCATCAAGATCTGCAATTTGTAAAGGACCCTACAAGTAGCCATTCAGAGGTGGACACGTTTTATAGTAAAGTTATGGTTTCCGTGGGGTGTTGTCGATATCAATTGCTGGGCTATACAACGCTATAGTTTGCATCACATTTATTGTTAAATATTCCTAAAACATAGGAAAAGCCAAAGTTCAGTACATGTCGCTGCTGCTCTATGTGATGGATTGGAGTTAAGAAGGGGTTGCAATGATGTACAAGCAGATGCAAATTTCGACATGATAAAGGCTACTGAATGGTTGAGTTGCATTCCGGGGAGGACATAGATCTTCTGATACTGCTGCTGCAAAAGGCAAACATCCGTGCAAAAAGACTTTATTTTCGTTCGACAAATAGAGCGCAAAATTTGTTTATGATACAGTTCTGGATCTAGATTATGTCCCAAATCGTGTTTCTTCGCGCGTTCAGCGGCTGTGATAGCACACCCATGGTCTAAGACACTGTCAAAAAAATGTTGTTCCAAAAGCTTATTAAATGCGATCCTGCAATAATAACAGTATGCATTATATACCGTTTATGGCATACTATTACGTCACATCTTTCTGTGGTCGCCATCTTATAGTTGGGAATGATCTTGATGTGTTAGGAGCATCTTCCTCTCGTCCCCAAAGGAACTGTGTTCAAGAACTACCAGGACAACATTTACGGTTGACAGAAAGTCAAGGCGTAATAGTACACCATAAACAGTCTATATTGCGTTATTGTTATTGCGTTGTTCGGGTAGAAAGACGGCTTGTCAGGATCTATTTCCCAAGAAGTTGATATGTTATTAACCAATTAGGCCAAAAAGTGTCTCTATTATATTACTAATACTATATCTGGTGAATAACGAAAAACAAACTCCCAGCTTATTCCCTTTCTGGTGGATAACAAACAAACTAGCTCATTGTTCATTATTTGCGAATACCGAACAACGAAACACACGTCGCGTGTAGCGACACAGCTTTCACAAAATACGAATGGTATCGGTTAAATTAATCAAACTGTGTTTTTCACCGATTTGACAGTTCATTCGTGATTATGATGCATTACACTCATCCCGCCAAGCACAGATACACAAACACTGGTATTCTAGGCACGTTTCCTGTTTCGGACATGAATTAATAATATCATTCTTTCGGACGACATAATTAGTAACAGTTTGGCCGTTTCGGTTAAAAACAGATGATTTGTGCCGGTGACAGGTAGTACTGACGCCGATAAGTAGTATACCACTGGCGCCTTCTTGAATCGCTTTAACTAATATGGGGGATCACGTGGCTAAGTGGGTAAGGCGCTGGCTAGCTACCCTGGAGGTCGGGTGTTCGATCCCTGCATTGGCCGAGAAAATTCATCCAGATTTTCCGGCGTGGTTTCCCCTTGTCAGTGATGCAGATCGGAGGGCCTGACAAGGACAGCTGTCTAGTCGTTCGAATAGGACGAAAAACCGAGGCCCCGTGTACAAATTGGCTTGCACGTAAAAGATCACTTGGCAGTTGGAATTCGATATAAGAGTAGGCAGTAGCGCCGCTGTCCGGGCAAAATTTCCCTCATGACAATTGGCGTATGCCCGTCTTCATTAGGACGTTAAACCCCATTTCATTTCATGTCATATGCTGTCACGAATTTGCTTCCTTGAAGAAAAATGTTAGATCTAACTCAAAATCTCATTCTCTTGTCTAAAGCTTCGAACATGAAATCCGCAACACTATCTTACCCTGTGTGGACCGTTTTTGGCAAAGCACACATTAAATTTCTAATAATTGTACATTTTTATCAGATCAAAAATAACACCGAAACGTCATCACCGGAAGTTATATCATTTGATATCTCTCTGCTTACCGTTGGCAGTAAATGTTAATTATGGAACTTGGTCAAGGTATTGATGTAATGGAACTTTACACCAATTTTCATCACTTGTACTTAATTAAAACCAAAGAGATTATGTCCCGAAGTATCAACCATTCAAATTGCTTATAATCAAGACTCGAGAGCTAAATGATTTTAATAGACCCCATTATTAAACAGACCCACATGTTGAAATACGGCAGCTTTTTCACCAATGGTTTGAGAAATTTTATTCTATTTTTCGATTTGATGAATAAACGAACTCAGTACACCTGTAGGAATCGCCCATGGCTGCCGTAGAGTGAGAACAGAAACCAATTGTCATAGTCTTCGTGGGTATTCTCTACCGGACAAAGGTTTTCAGGGGAACTAATCGCATTTTGAAGGGTAAATTGTCACGTCGATAACTCCCAAAACCCTAAGTTGATTTCGGTGGATTTACAGTAACAAAAACCTTCTATAGGAATTTGGATTAAGACTAATAATTATTTCCCCTTAAAATACAGATGTGACGTCACCCTTTGATGTTGGCGTACCATTATTTTAAATAATCGTACGGGCAACTTGCCAATCGTACTAGTGAAATATTGGACTGATGATATTACAGCAGAGGGATAGGGGGTGCAAAGCAATCATTGTGTCGGAAGTGAAATTTGACCCCAGTCAACATCAAATCCCCGTAGCAAAAAATCTAATCTTCTGATTCCTTTATGAATACCAGATATAAGTATACAGATTAAAAGTGTTTTTATTTGACAAAATGAACATATTATTATACAGAAGCAAACAAAACGATAGCACATGATGATACTTCATCTTTTATACACAATACTGAAATACAACTTGCGTTTTAAATTATAATGGTGTGTGATTAATAAATTTATCATTATAGCTTTCCCATAGACTTGCCACAATTAGCTACCCTTGATAACAGTCGATTTTGTTTTCGTCATATTGGATCAGTGGCCAAACGCGACATTTGATTTGTTTCAGACCGGAAGTACTACAGGAGACTGCCATGAACTCTTGGCATGGGGTTAATCTCCACCATGAAGTAATACTTGGCCAATTACAGGTTAGCGCCTATACCTTTATCTTCCGAGAGGGGACTTACATACACCCACCTGCAGGAAAGTCGTCCGCTCTAGTTATTAAACCAAATTTTAAACAATTACAGGGCTTGAGGAAACCTGTATGAATATAGTGAGTTGTGATTTAAATCGAAAACTGGTTTTTCAAAGGATTATGACCATACATGTATAAAACGGTGTCTATATATTTTCAATAATTAGCTCAGCGTGTAATTAAATGTAGAAAAGTTACCCGGCATTTACTCTCCACTAAATATCCTGGGATCGAGTCCCGATATGGTTCAAGAAAGTGAACCAAACAATCAAGATCGAACACAATTTCCAACAAACAAACCTGTTTAAAAGGACACGGACTGGCACAGACATATATATCCACATTAAATAATCCTTTATTAACAATATTGATCTGGGAGGGAAAATAAAGAGATAGCCTCAGTCAAACAACACACAATGGCTTTGTTCTAATTTTAATAGTGGACAATATCATTTGAAAGAATTGAAAGCTATCACATTACTGTCTATTTTTGATGCTCTTATTTATCCTATAATAAACAGAACCAAATTGGATTGTTATATATCCAAAATAGAAAATATATTTGCTTACATAGAACTGATCAATGACATATTGCCAGGACTACAGTCAAATTGAAGTTTGACTTACTTTCATTTCTAAGTTTTCTATTTACATACACTACAAGTGGGATCTAACAACAACTTTAAGAACTTGGTTTGACCTTTCAATGCCAATGAACCAAACTTTCGTTTGAATAAAACCTATTTTCACCAATCTACAATAACTATAATTAAGATTTCAAAGAATGCATCAGAAGTATTTAGATCTTTAGGTAATGTATGCCAGCCAAAATTAAATTCGGAATCAATAATATTTTAGTAAGACGATCATGTGGAACATTATTTAAAGTTACAATTTCATATTTTCTAAGAAAGTCAAAACATAATTATTTCTATGTCTTTTGCTCAATGGGTTGTCAACTCACTATTAAAACTTATTTACACTGGAAATAACACAATTACCTCCCTTGTTTTCTATTCTCCACCATGGAGTTGCTATTTTCAAACGTTTGAATTTGAAGATGAAAATGATATTTTTGCCATAGTGAATTATAGGATTAATAGCATTATTCTTTAACAAGGTAGCACTGTTTATAGATACTATCTATTTTAGGGCTTTATTTTAATACATTTTAAAAATATAACTTAAAAATATGAAATTGTAACTTTAAATTGCCAGCTTGCCAATTGTGCTGTTCTAACCAAACACACTGATTACACACCAAGGCATATACAGTAAATGTCAAATGATAATGTGAAGAATGAATACATTTCAAATTATTAGTTCTTGACAAGAGTGTTAACATGTTATCTCTAGCTTATCAATGAGATCACAGATAACATTAATAAATGCAAATGAATTTAAAAAGTTAGAATGGAAAAGCAATCCTATACATGTACATCTTTAAATACGAAGTTATAATTATTTCATAATTTACTATAATACTTATTATACTTTACAATGAATAAATGCCAATTTGATGACTTCTAAAAGTGCAGGCAGCAGTTTTTGAACCTTCTGGAACAAAAAGCAAAATCCTTTAACAGATATGGAAATAAATGCATGGAAACAGTTAATTTTTACCACAAATTCACACCTCAACCCAAATATAAAATTGTCCTTAGTAATATTATTATGGCAAAAAATATGGAAATGAATGTAAAAAGTAATGTCCAACACAGGTGGATTATCCCACCTTCTACTTTATTAGATATAAATGATCAACCTAAAGTTAATACTGCTTTAGTCATTTTTAATGCATTATTACAACTTGATAAAAAGAACAAATTAGGATAACCACTTATAATATTTACCACCAGATAGTAAGTATAAAATATAATCATATCAACCAGGTAATTATGAAATGGTATAATGTTAAAAGAATTATACACCAACCCGGTATATGCTATCGATGTGTGCTAGGACAGAAATTTTAGCCACCCGGGCTGTGGCATTTCTGCCTACAATTCATCGGGGTTTTTTACGTGCACGCCAAGTGAAAACAGGTTTTCGTGCCATTAGAAGAACAAGATGTTTTTCTTTGCCAATGCCAGCATCAAACTCATGATTAGTGAGTCAGCATCTTGTCCACCCCCGCCCCCAGTTAAAAAAGTCTATTTTCAAGAGTGACATAAATATTTATTTTCAAGAGTGACTTAGATATTTCTTACTTAGTCTGACAATATTGCACAACCGTATCTAATTATTGTTGCCTCTGATTGTTGGACATATAATTGAGGAAATTGCTTTTCAGTTTAAAATTTCTCAAAATGCAGTAACTTCACCGCATTTTTTTAATATTTTTTTTCTTTACTGATATTTAGTCTGTTGCAGAGGATATAATGTTTATTTTTTGGATTGAGTTTCTAAATCATAGCTAAAAAGACACACTATACAAATTGATTTTTTTTTCACTTTGATATGTACATGTATAAGGAAATTTGGGACTACTAATTTCAAAAACTTAACAACAAAAAAACACTTAAACAGCAAACTAGTAAACAAAGCTTACATACAATTAATTACATTAATATGGAATTACACTAGATATTACACAGTTCTGTTCAAAGCCCCAAATATAAACATGTATATCAAAATATATTAAGGTCACTTTATAAAGTTATAAAATGATAGTATTCAGCTTTCATGTACATTTATCTTTAGGATCACATCACGTCCACCATTGTATTGTTAAATTATAGTGCCTTAAACATTCCTCCTTTAATAATTAGAAAACCACAATAAATACAGAAGCAATTGGGATATGTATATCAATTTACATATATACAAAGACTGTAAAAATTTAACAAAATTAAAACCATTATTAGGGAACCTATTTAACATGTAATCAATGTAACCTATGTATCAAGATGATTTTTAAAACTTTATTGAACTTTTCTTTAATAGACTTCAGAGGTCATAAAAGGCATTTAATTTAAATATGAAGAATTTGCATCTCTATTAAAATATTACTCAACTTAATTTTGGCATCTGATCTTAAGTCTAACATACGAAACAAAATTTAACCATTCCCAACATCTGCTAATACTTGAGTGAATATTTCGTTTAAATTTTAGCACAAGCCTGATAGCCCACAACCCAAATTCATAAGCATACATTTTAACTTCTAACGAACTTACAGGAGATCATAGGATTACACCATTCAAAACAACAAACAAAAACAACAAAAAAATATGTTGTTACAAACAAAATATGGCATAAGTTTAAAGCTAACATTTACACATAAAAATTTCATACACAAATCAAAATAAAGGATATGATATAAATAGTAACAATTTAAAGAGACATTATTGAAGGAATTGACCTTTACAATGAGTTGTTACCATAATATACAGAATAAACATTCGTTACTTTCATTAATTAAAAAATATGGAATTACTTTAATTTATATGAAAAATCAGATGATTAAATCTATAAACAAATGTGGACAAGCTTTATGGCCTTAAATATCAATTACAGTGGACTCTGTCACATCCGATCTCTGATCACTCCGGATTGCTGTGACATCCGGTATGATTTTCATGCCCCGATTTATTTCCTTATTACTTCAGCCAAAAAATCGCTGGTAAATCCGAATTCTGTATGTTCCGGATTCCGAAATCAATCAGCCGTCCCGTCACATAATTTCCATTGATTCGACACCGTATAATCCGTACTTCAAACGGTGGGTGTGAAGCAACCAATTATTGGTGAGATTAAAACTCAATGGGTGTGAAGCCAGAAAAGATTAACAAGTAATCACCAATCAATTATCGGTGAGATTAAAACTGTGTTGATTACTTTGATCAGTAAAGCAGTGAACCTGAGTTGTTTTAAGGGAGTGGTGGACAAGATCAACCTGCCAGTCAATTGGTCGGCCAATCGCAAAGCTTGGATGACAGGTGCCGTTTACTTTGATTGGCTTTAAAAACTGGACATAGAATGACAGATTATAAATGACAATTGACTTGACCTATTCAAAATTCCTATGCATGCTCAACGACATTAAACACTTCGCACAGATTAAGGACGAAAAGATGATCGCAACAATTCATTTGTTAGAAGATGTTGCCCAGGACTCCGCCTTACGATATGCTTCCGGTAATCTTAATTAAGCAAACTACTTTAAACGATTACATGCATTGATATTTATAAATATATTGTACGCATGCATTGATATTACATGTAAACGATTTTATGAATACATTATACGCATGCATTGTTATTGTTTATTATTTAATATAATAAAATTTTTAAAGTACAGAAAAGTTTATCATTTATAAACGGAATAGTATTCTGGTGATTCGAAGCTACAATATAAAAATACTTCCGGTTTTCGAAGTTACAGTATTTCCAGTTTTGGAGAAAATTCGGTATTCCGAAACGCTGTGTGATCCGAATTATTGTAACGACCCCGCACGATGTCGGATGTGACAGAGTCCACTGTAATTAAAAGCATGTGATTAAGCCAACTATGATCAAATTGAATTCAAATATAGATCTAAATTTCATTTTCTTTCCTAGCAAATTATAGATTGTCGTGGCACGTCACATTAGGGACGAGGTAAACCTTGCCAGAATAATACTGATTATAAAACAAATCTATATTTCTTTTCAATCTTTTTCCAGATTGTTGTGGCAGGCCACATTATGTTTCATGGAGATTATAATTAATCAATCAGCATCTCTGTTTCTCATGGCCACTCAAAAGTATAAAACTAACTCACACACACACTTGCTCATCTGAATGGTGAATTCCTAATATAAAACAAAAGACATTATAGCCCAGACATATGAAATTTGAATTACAACCAAACATAAAAAATAGAACAAAAAACGATCTGTATTTACATCAGATTGATCATGTTCAAACCCCTGTATCATCAGTATATACAGGCAATGTGTATTTATTAGACAAAAGGAACAATAAAAAGGTTTTAAATAATAATATCAATCTAGTTGGCAATCTTTAACCTACCTATGGAGAGAGAGAGAGAGAAATGGGGTTTAACGTCCACTCGACACAAACTAGGTCATTTCGGGACTAACACATGGGTCAATTTTATTTCAATCATTCGCTTGCCATAGGGGTCTTTAGCAGTGGGAGGAAACCGGAGGACCCGGAGAAAACCCACGAGGTTGGACAGGCGACCCTACTCCTTGTCACGTACAACCCAGGAATCGAAACCCCGCCAGTTGACTCAATGACAGAACGTATGATACAGCGAGCTGCCTATGGAAATTCAAAATAAAACTATAAGTTACTACTTCACTAATAGGGTAAAGAATTTTTTCATCTTTTTCTATTAAGTACACAACTTATTTACTGTCATGATTTTGAGTTTCTCTAATTACCCATTTGGATTTATTATGTGGTATATTTTCCCACAAAGGTGGGATTTAACACATTTACATAAATAAACTGCCTGAGAATTCAAATTACTGCAACCATAATCGCTATCAGAAGCCTTATGGATTTATGAAGAATTTATACGATAAAAGTATTATTAAAGGAAATCTCTTTTTTTTCATATATTAAAATAAAACATTTTTTTTTACTGATTTGTGGATTCAAATGTAAACATTGATAGAGTGACTGATCTAATGCTCATTATCACATAAAAATCACATTGAAATATATATCAGCAGCATCTAAAATACCCCTATGATATCTACAACATAACACCATTCATTCTTAATGTCAAATTAAGCATAATACCCTAAACATGTTCATATAATAAAAAATATTCATAATAAAACACTGCACATGTACAACCACATTTACATGCCTTATGCTCTGCACTAGGTAAGTCAATCCTCTTGTTCATCTGCAGAGAATCAAATTCCCCCAAAAGAATTTTTTTTTACATACATTTAGGACAAAAAAAAACCAAGACATACATTATGATTAATTTGATTAAACCAAACAGTTATGTTTTACTTTCAAAATTACACCAAGATTACAATTATAATTACAATTCCTAACCGAAAAACATGATTATGTTAAAACATTCTCGTGTCTTACTGTACCTTAAAACATCAAAAGCTACTTTGAACTATTACAATGGATATGTTTGATCTGTTACAAATATATATAATTATATGTTACAGAACCTACACTTACAATATCTGGCCAAGCGTTTAGAAGCTATAAAGCTTATATAACATTTCATCTAATTTGCCAACCTATTCCAGAGCACTGTATTCAACCAAATACCAGATTCATGTAACAATTAAAATATCCTGTCATATAGTAAGGAGTATATATTTCAACTGAAATGGCACTTAACATATTATGTTTCAGCACCATAATATGTTCTATGGGAGAAATTTTGCCCAGACAGTGGCATTCTGCCTACTCTTCATCTAATTACAACTGTCAAAGGTACTTTAACATTACAGGACTTAATGTTTTTGTACCATCTGAACAACTAGATACTTTCTCCTTGCCATACCCTCCATCATGCACCACTGGCAGTGAGGAAACGACACTGAAATATCATGAGGAACTTTCTCTTCCAACACCTGAATAGAACCTGACACATCATGGTTAGCAGTAAGCCAAACACCTTACTCACCCTGTATAAACCATCCTGGCATTTTTCATTACCTTCTCTTATTTTAAAAATAGTGACATTTGGTTAATAACATATATTTATTATTGTAGTATAATCTATTTCATAAGTTCCTCAAAAGTGTAAATTTTGAATAAAATTATTATTTTTAAGTTGTTATATTTTTTTTTATTTCCTTAAAATATAAAGTTTTATTTCATCTCTAAGCAAGAAAATGTTTATATTTTCACTCATGCTATGCATTCGTGAAAATATAAGTTTTCTTGCTTCTCGATGAAATAAATATGTTATTCACTCTAAAACGACAAATATCCTCTATGTACACTCCTGTAAATACTATAACATATTTTCCTATGCTGGATTGATAACGAAGACCTTTATGAGCAACTTACATGTGATTTAGGAGAAAATATTTCAAGATCTTTTAACTGCATTAAGTAAGTACACCACAACATTTGGGGTAAACCAGGCAGTTTTCATTAAAAATGATAAAGTGATTAAATTAAAATTATTAATCATCAAAGATTTTAGAACAATATTACACTTCATAGATTACATAGAGGATATTTGTCGTAGTGAATATATAAACGTTTTCTTGCTTAGAGATGAAATAAAATATGTTATTCACGACAAAACGACAAATGTTCTATTTATTTTACGATTTTACAATCATTTTAGGTAAAAACAACATGGACTACCGCTAGCCAGTGGAATAACACTTTTATTTCACTGATAAAACGCGGTATTCCACTACTGATCATAAAATAAAAATTATTAAATTACATGTAGACTAGATGAGTGTAAGGAATATTAAAATGAGTTTGAAAACCGGGACGTTCATAAATATTCATCTCAAGCATTTGAATTGCATTTCAAATAATCTTTTGATGGTACTTTCAAAATAGATTATAAGATCGAAATTGGGTGATTTATTTATAAGTTACAATACTAATTTGGGTAAAATGAGGTAAAATATGGGTTGATAAATATCAGACTAAAGGTCTTAATCAATTTAATTGTAAATTACAAAAAAAAGGTCTTAGTCAATTTAATTGTAAATTACAAAAAAAACAGACTATCAAATATCACCCAGTGCTGAGTCACCTGTATTTTGTATTAACATTTAGAACATATTTATTGATAATTATATATTATTTCACAGCTTTTAACCATGTAATAAAGATATGGCATTAAATGTCTGCATATGATAACACAAAAATCATGTTGTACAAATAACAGATATATATCAATGCCATAGAACTTGCTTATTTAGACTGATCTGTTTACACATGGAACACACTAGAGCTGTATTTGGTATCTCAAAAACACTGTGATCACAATACAGAACATATTAAAGCATTACATCAAAATATCATAGCAAATGTTTGTTGTGCAGTAATTTCTCCTTCAATTCAAAATATCTTTCCAATCTTGACATGGCATATTCCTAAAACAACAACAAAACAATAAGCTGAATGAGGTATTCATTAATCTACACATAAAACAACTAGTGCCATTTAAATATATAGTTAGATAGGTAATGGGAGCATTACAAAAGAATAACAACTGATCAAGGTCAACAACTAAAGAACTTATTACCAGAAATGATATAAAAAAAATAACAGACTTCTAGTTTTACCAAGCGATAACATGTTATGTTAATCAGGTGGTAAATTACCTGTTTGAGTAATCTGAAAAGGCATCTGTGCCCATGTACACAACAGATAATAACGTTTTGTTAGCCTCCAGATTAGTCGTTTCAACCTTTGTATACTGGGGGTATGATGACTGAAAACAAGAGATATTTTGGGGACCGCCAAGGCAGAAATGAAAATAAAATATTTCTATAGTATTTTATGTATTACTTTTTAAATGCAATACTATAATTTGAAATTTATATAGCTATGTCAAATACTAGAAATGAGCAATATCGTATACTGTCAGAAACAGAAGTCTTCAAATTTTGAGACAGGTTTCGTTTTCCTGGAGCGATAGTTGATGCTCTACAGCATCCACCAGATTTATCAAAAGAACTTAAGATCAATAACTTTGATAGTAACTAGCGGAAAACTATAAAAGTGATCATCGGCGATAATCCTGACAGCAATTATCAGAAGTTGTTGAAAATCTTCATTAAATGTACATAAACATTGCAGGGGTAATGACAATAAATGACTGCATTTCAAGGTGAGCCTATAAAAATGATTTTAATTGCATAAATCCAATACTACTTACCCAGTAACCAAACTCAATGACAGATGTTTTGGCTTGTATTATGGCCCAGATAGCCCAATAGAAATGTGATGCCAAAGCATATGTATTAACTTCTACATATAAGGCCTGTAAATCTTTATCACAAATATCACATTCACCACTAGCTTTTAGATATTCTTTAAAGAATGAATACTGAAATAAATAAAATTACGTAGATATCCCTTTAGAAACAGACCAATAAACATAAAGGCTGAAAGAATTTTTAATACAGTAATTTACACAATAAAACTCCCAAAAAGTAGATTGGATACCATATTGGCCTTGATGTTCATGGATTGAAATGAGTTATCATTCAGATAATGACAGACAATTGCAACGAAATAAAGATTCTAAAGCAAAATCAAGAATTGATTGGTTTAAGACTAAAGTAAGTATTGCGAGAGAGAGAGAGAGAAAAATGGAGTTTAACGTCCACTCGACACAAACTAGGTCATTTCGAGACTAACATATGGTTTATTTTTATTTCAATAATTCGCTTGCACGTAGGGGTCTTTAGCAGTGGGAGGAAACCGGAGGACCCGGAGAAAACCCACGAGGTTGGACAGGCGACCCTACTCCTTGTCAGGTACAACCGGGGATTCAAAACTACTCCAGTTCAGGGCTGTCGGTAATTTTTCACAGATGATTAGCAGCACTGCTAATCAAAAAGTCCAATTTTGCCAAATTTGATTAGCAAATTTAAAAATTGATTAGCAGTTTTTCAGTTTCAAATCAACATAAAACACCTAAATAACAAGATTATTTTAATTTTAATTGATAGCAAATGATTAGATTTCATTCTTAAGATTTTTTTAGAATGTTAGCACTTCTACAGCTAGCTGTGAACATTTCTGAATGAATGTAGACTTTTGTTAGGCCTTATGTCTGAAGCCAATTCTTGGCAGTGGCTTCTTATTTCTTCGTTAGAAAACAATTTCGTCTGCTTTTTATCGTGTGTTATTATTTTTGTTCAATCGGAAGCACGCGGTATTTTACGAATAATCTCGATTAACTAGACGCACGCGATATAAACAATAATAGTTTACGGGAATTCTTACTTTGATTTCTCACTTTACAATACGTTTACACGTATTTATTTTTTATATTTTATTTACAATACGTGGGGGATACACTGAATTTATTTTTTTTCAAATTGAATACTGATATAATTACTCGAAATTGACATGTCTCGCAACGTGAGTGGTACTACTTGATTCCCTATTTCCGGTTTAATAGTCCCGATTCATAGAGTTATGTCCCTGTATTATATAGTATCATGAATTGAGTCTGGGTAGTTCGAGAAGAAAATGTCACACGGAGAATTCCGTTTTGTTTATAAAATTTATTTGATATTTTATACGCGTTGAAAGTGTTGAGAAATGTGGATAAATCTTTGTGTCAATATCCAAAATGACAGGCATATTATTGATTCGCAGTTACTGCGAATCAAAAACGTTAGATTTTAATTTTTGATTAGCAACGGACAAAATATGTATCGCAAATTGCGCTGCAATACTGGTTGTCGGCAGCCCTGCTCCAGTTGACTCAATGACAGGCTTTATGATACAGCGCACACATGCTAACCATTCGGCCATCCAACCCCCCAGTAAGTATTGCATTTCAAAAGATAGGTTGCCAGGCAACAAAACATACGCCCACAGCAGCTAAATCGTCCGAGCGGTCGACAAGGGTTGTCGCATATTTATTCCTTTGTAGCTAATTGTGGGTCTTTACAAGAAAATTCCATACAGATCAGATTATAAATTTTGTCGTTTGAGGGTTTACAAGGTTCTACAAACTGAAACAAGGGTCTCAACTCTGGAAGTAATCTACAGATATTGTTGAAATTTGACAGGCTTTTTCGTTTTACTAATTTAAATAATGCATATAAATTTCATACAGATCACATAATCACTTTTGTCATTCAAACGTTCACAATCGCCATAACTCTAGAAATTATTGACGGAAATTGCCGAAATTCAATAGACCTGTTTCACAAATTTAAATGATGCATATAAATTTCATACATACATGTATCGGATGATAACTTTCATCAATCGAGCATTAACAAGGTTTAACAAAGTGAAACAAGGGCAATAACTCTAGAAGTAATTATTGTAAATTGCTGAAATTCAATAGGCTTCTTCGTTTCACTAATTTAAATCATGCATATAAATTTCACAAAGATCGGGTGATAACTTTGGCCTTAAAGCGTTCACAAGGATCAATAAAGTGAAACAAGGGCCAAAACTTTAGACATAATAAACGGAAATTGCTGAAATTCAATAGGCTTCTTCGTTTCACTAATTTAAATCATGCATATAAATTTCACAAAGATTGGGTGGTAACTTTTGGCGTGAACAGCGTTCACAAGGTGCAGTAAAGTGAAACAAGGGCCATAACTTTAGACATAATAAACAGAAATTGCTGAAATTCAATAGGCTTCTTCATTTCACTAATTTAAATAATGCATATAAATTTCAGAACGATCGGATGATAACTTTTGGAATTAGAGCATTCACAAGGTTCAATAAAGTGAAACAAGGGCCATAACTCTAGATGTTATAAACAGAAATTGTTGAAATTCAATAGGCTTCTTCGTTTCACTAATGTAAACAGCATATATCAATTGTAAAACAATTGGATGATAACTTTTGGTGTTAAGAGCGTTCACAAGAAATTGTGGACGATGGACGGACGGGGGCGACGGCAATATACGTCCACATTTCAATGAGGGCGTATAAAAATCAACCAATGAGATTGCAGCAGGCCAATTAAATATATGAGAATTTAACTGTAGGCAAGTGTCTGTGATAATGAAGCTACATTCAAGGTTTGAAAAAGAGTCTTCGGATATAGCGTTTCAAAGAATCAACCAATAAAATTGTAATAAGTTACAGGAGTTAAATCTCTATTCTTTGGAAAATAAAATGGATGAAAATACAGGTCAAAAAGCATGTATTAATGTAATATGAGTACATAAAAAGATTTACATTCATTTTTTAAAATTTTTATTGAAATTTGTTTGTACTAGTATGTGAGCAGTCCAAATTGAATGGAAGTTGCTCGTTAAACCAGTTTACATTCAAGTACAGTTTGAAATTTCACTTACACAGTGACGTTTTAGTCTCGTTCATCAAGGTGCCTCATTACAAATGACAATCAAGAGCATGTATACATCCTTGTAGACAGATTATAAAATTGTGTTCTGTCTTAAACATTGGATATTAACAACAACATTAATATTATGAGAATGGACCAATAATTTGTGTTTGCATTGTCGAAGATATTGAATCAGAGCTTTACATACTTTAACTAAAGAAGTTTTCAAAGACTGTGATATTGAAGGTATTTTCCAGCTTAATCAAAATCCATTCAACAGAAATAAAATTATTGTGTTTCGAAGAATCAACAAACCGTATTGCAGCTGTCTAACTGAATATACATGGATTGCATTGATTTTCGAACTCCTGCAACTAATGAAGATATATTCTAAGTTTCATCAAAATCCATTCACTAGAGAAATAAAGTTAATGCATTTCAAAGAGTTTGATGGATGGACCAAACTTAATTGTCAACAGAACTATCGACAAAAACATCTACAAAACAAACCCATGAGATCAATAGCAATCGTAGCCCCCTTAATGCAGAGATGACCCGTTGCCTTATATGCATTAACTTCTTCAAAAACATATATAACATTGTGCATCTTTTCATCTACTCGTCATTTTTCAAGATCAATAAAAAAACATTTATTGTTCCAAAATGTATGTGGTGTGTTCCAAAAAAATAAAAATATTAATAGCAAAAATATTGTATTTCCTGGGAAAAATCAACTTTGTGACTAGCTAAAGCATTACAACATAATGTAGCCAGCATTGCATTATGGTTAGTTATCTATCTTGTGAAATTATTGTTGAGCCTCTGAGATATTATATGAAACACGAACCTTTTCTCTCCCAAGATATGTCTTTGCTGTATAAAAATGTTAATTAATAGTTTTCACTCCTTATTTCTGAACTAGATGTTTCAACTGATAGCTACATGATGTTTATAGGTACGTATATAGTTTTTATTTACAGAACACAGACGTGCCTAAATCTGTTTTATATTATGGATAATTCCCTTTTCCATATGGCTATTTTGGATATTGGCAAATATGATAAATCTACATTACCTGTTGCTCCCTACTGGGGTAACCTTCGGCAGTGTAACTGAAAAATGGTGTATTGGGATTCTCATATCCATATGCCCATTCACAAAAATGATTACCTATGTCAAAACCCCTGAAATATATAAAAAAAAAAATAAAGCTAGTGATGTTTACCGTCTCTGTTGATTTTCGAAGAACAATATGTCTACTTTAAGAGCCTGTCCTTACAAGCGAGAAAAAAAATTCTCATTTCCACATAAATACCTTAAAGAGGAAAACCAACCATTTTCAAAAAGGTTTCCATAAATTTTAAATATATTTTTACACATAATCACCCCTGCAATTCGCACAAAAAAATTTGCATGTGAACAATTAATTCATTATTAAAACTGCTTGTATGTTTTTGTGATTGCTGACAGTGTTGTATAGATAATTTGGATGGCTAATGGATAAACAGACAGGAACGGGATTGTAATATAAGACAAAACTAAAATTCTGATGTACACAATTGATCACACTACCACAATTTTATGAACAATCATATAAAGCAATTAAATATACCTGTAGTTGTAGCTACAATATTCCCAATCAATTACAGTTAGCTCCCTTGATGGATTCTCACTACCTTCCATATGTAATACATTACCTATTTTCAAAAAATAAAAAAAAATAAAAACAAAAAATTAAAACACCTAAAGATAATTTTCTTTTTTTAAATTTCAGATTTTTGATTAAAACAAAATACTTGGATACTGTACTGATAGTTTTGAATATAATTAACATTTATAGATCAAATAAAACCAGTAGTTCTATCTAGGAATCAAAACTAAATTTATATATGGTAGGGTTTAGTTTTATCCAAAATTTGAATACATATGCTGATATAGCCAACAAAAAAAAAAGCACACACAAAAAGAAGATATAAATTGAAACTGAAAGTTATTAATGAGGTTATTGGATAGACAAATGATACATTTTTCTATTAAATTAGTAAATTATTTGAATGTTAAACAAAATATGGACAATGTTTAAAGATCTAAAAGATAAAAAATTTACAAGATAAAATACTTGTTCATGTACAAGACACCTCTTCTAATAACAGCGTTTCCTAAAAGAAGAATATGTACATAAACATCTTCATTCAGATGTTAGCACTTCATAGATTTCAATCAACAAAGCAGAGGGTCAAGAACAGGTATTAAGGAAAGAAACCATTACAAAAAAATGATTTCATATTCAGCTGTACAGCTGTTAAGAAATTATGACATTTCCATTGTGAAATTTCAAAAACAGTACCGTAGCCTCATTGCTTAAAGAGATTAATTTCTAATAAAATTTCACCTTCCAGCAACTAATGAAGCTACACTACAAACACATTCTACATGTTCATGTTCAAAGCATGACCTATGAAACCTCTGCAGGGGATGGAAACCCTAAAAACAGTGTGTGATGTGATGTGTCCGTGGGTTTTTCTTCTGTTTTGTTGTTAGGTGTTGTGTAGTTTAAGGAATTAAAGTAATAATAATCACTGTGTATGGTATACAGATCAAACATGAAACATGTTGAATGTGGACGTACAGTAGCTCAGAACCAGCTTCGTTCCTGTTATAATCTTTTCAATGACAACACCGAGACTTAGCATAAAACTACAGTGGCGCTTTAGCACTATTTACTATTTTCAATTTTACTACATCTCCTTGACTTTGCAGTTACATAATGTTTATAATTTTATGGTAAGAGCTAAATTTGTCTCGAGTAATGAAACAATGTAAAGCAAGAAAACTTTGCGGCGTAAAATTATTGTGATAAGCATTATGGTAATATCAATGCATTATGATATTATAGTATAAGTTAGTTATACCAACAATTAAAAAACTGGGACATGAAACATACACCCACAGCAGCTTTAATTTGTTAAAAGATGTCTTTGTCTCATGAGAAAAACACAGTGTATAAATTTTGAGTCAATAGGCTCTCTTGAAATGAAATGAAATGGAGTTTAACGTCCTACTATTCTGCTCCTAACCTGGGCTAATGAAGACGGGCATACGGCATACAGTGTGCTATGAGGGAAATTTTGCCCGGACAGCGGCACTACGTCCTACTCTTATATCGAATTCCAACTGCCAAGTGATCTTTTACGTGCACGCCAATGTGTACACAGGACCTCGGTTTTTCGTCCCATCTGAACGACTAGACAGCTTTCCTTGTCAGGCCCTCCGTCCTGCATCATTGACAAGGGGAAACCACGCCGGAAAATCTGGATGAACTTTTTCGGCCAATGCAGGGATCGAACACCCGACCTCCAGGCTAGCGAGCTAGCCGGTGTCCACCAGATTTTCAAAGTGATCAAGGGCTATCCCTATGACAATTATTGTCGCATATTATCAAAAGGCAAAAAGTGTCTTCTCCTAATGACCATAAACAATGTGTGTAAATTTGAAGTCAGTCGGATGGAAACTTGAGCCTCTTGGTCATCCACAATGAATTGTTGACAATGGACAGACAATATATACAAACACATTTAAAAGGAGGCATTAAAAGCAATCAATTTGTAAGTAAAATCCACGACCACTGTTAGCTTATTTTATTAGCTAATCAAATTAACATTATAAAAAAACTGATTGAAGTAACGCAGTCAGCATATTGACAACGTGCACTTGCATTGTCCACATTCTTTTTAAAGCTCGCAGAGTTCTCTTATTTTACAAAGTGAAATTGTCACTGTATATTTTTAAACCTTATATCAATCATCTAAATTTTTACACTCAAGAATAGATCTTAAACCAAAACATTTGCAGGAATTAAGTTCAGACTTAACTGAATCTAAGAACAGATGTTCATTTGTTGATATCTTTTTATCGGTTGCCCTATGTCTTTTTTTTATTCTTTAAACTTATGTCCTAAATTATTAAACATGCAAATCAATAAACAAAAATCAATTTTGATATGGTAAATGACGAATGAAAAACAAAATATATATGAAACAAGATTGAGAACTTAGGATTTTTGATGAAAGGATGGAGGTAATATAGTAAATTACAAAAATTTCCTAGTCCTGGATGGTATGGGACATTTCGGACATCTTGATATTTAAGAAATTATATCAAAACCGGACTATATATCATGATTTTTAAATAAACAAAGATCAGGGTTTTTCAGATCCCCTAATTAATATGACCTTCGTGGGTTTTTGGTAATGTTCAGCCTACAAGCATGCCAAAAATTACATTTCAACTCCATTATCTCTTGCCAACGCTACCAGTTAAATAAGTTTTCATTGCGTCTCAGTATATGTTTTCTATATCATGGTTTGTGTATCAAAAAATCGAAATATTGTTTGGCTCTAATATTTTCTTATATCCAAACAAAATATCTCTGAAGATGGTCATAAGAACAACCCATGAATTGAAACCACGCTGCAAAATCGTGTGGAACTTTCTCGTCCAACACCAAGATCAAAACAACAGATCACTGAGTCACCATGGCTCCCATACAAACTACAGTGTACAACTTATTATAATCATTAATAACCATTCTTTTTCTGGTTGCCAAAAACCTTATTTTAAAAATGGCACAAAATAAATTGAAAACGTGAAGTGCTGTAATTTAATACTTCTAAAATCGAAAACTTAACAATGCACATTCATTTTGTGCTATCTGTGGCCTACAATTTTCAAACAAGAATTTGCTTAAATAGTTGTATCAAGTTAATCACATTAAGCGCAACTAACATTTTTAGTTTGTTTATCCAGTGCCAGATATATATATATCCCTAAAAAAACAATAGTATGAATTGAACAACTATATCATTATTAATTGTTTAATCACTGTCGAATATTTTTCGCCACAAGGACATCATCAGGACATAACATAACAATATTAACAATAACGATAACGTAACGTAATAGATATTTACAGGCTAAGCAGGCTAAAGCTTTTGTCCTTAATTAGGGGGGTTCCGTCAAAAGGTGTAGAATATTTTTGACGCTGTCGTTAATACTAATTAAATCTTCTTACAAGCACTGTAGCCTTAACCATTCATCATCCCTTTAGCTTTGCTAATTTGTATTTAAAACACATTTTGATCTTCCTCTGGTTGTGGAGGTGGGGGAATGGGAAGGGCCTCATAAGTGGAACAGCCATCTTAATCTGGAAGCGAACACAAGTATTTATTGTCAATCTGTTTCCGTAATAATTTTTACACATTATTTTCCCAGAAATCATTGAATTTATATATTACCTTCTTGCAGGTCATTATGACAGAAAACAACTGGTGACTCTACTTTAGAACAGATGTTTCTGAAGAAATATAAAACAAATGAAATATAAATTCATAATTATAACAATCAAGGAGATTCAAAAATAATTTCAACTCTTTCTGGGGCTTCTTTTATTTAGTTCAGTGGTAAGCAAATGGTAGTTATCTCCCTGTAAATCTTGTCAGATTGACTCTATATGCTTGCCACTATCAAATAATGATGTAATGTGTTTAAGTGTGTCAATTAAAACATTTTGGTATAAATAGACTATGACCCATGGTATACTATTCAAACAAGAAGTGGCGTGACAGTCAAGGACACAGAACAATCATTGATAGAACAATAAACTGTCAAAGGTCATATGTATATATATCTGGCAGATTTTATGAAATTTTCTTTTTTTGAAATTTCCTATTCTCAGAATGAGAAAAGTTATCACATTTCTAAGTCAATGGGCTTCAGTAGATATCATTTCAAAATATTGTATATATGGAGTATTTTAAAAAATATTGTTAATTAGGAGCAGTATAATCATAGATCTTTAGTCTATTATGAGGTCCATCATAAAAAAAGTCAAAGCTGTCACACTCAGTAAATGGTTTTTACACCAGTTAATTGTTATTATTCATTACATATTTGCTGACCTAGCCACATGTATGATCACTCATACATCACAATATCCAATTAGACTTGAATGTGAATCGACATAATATGTAAATGAACAGACCGATCTAGAATAATGTTGAATATATTATATGATTACTTACATCATGGTATTAAATTCCTCCTCTATATTATATGACTCTAGTTTACGAATGTAACTTTTGTGTTCAGGATGACCAGAATTGGTACATGTATTATTTTGGATTTCTTTAATCCACCTGGAAAGCAAAAAAAAAAAAAACAAGTTTTTAGTAAATTTAATAAGCACAGAGATAAATCTGCTACCTGATTATGTTGTTTGATTTGGAATCAGCAGGTAAGGCAATCGAGCTAGGTATATATATATATATATATATATATATATATATATATATATATATATATATATATATATATATATATAAAAAAAGCAAAATCTACTGTATAATATCATTAGTCCGGTGGCTGAAGGGGGGGAATCGCCACCCGAGCTGTGAATTTATGAGACCAAGTTTTTCTAGACCAGTTTTTTGCGTAGATTCCGAATCTTGGTGGTGATCAGGCGTTTGAGGGGGCGTTTTCGAGATATAGGGGGTCAAATGTCTACAATGGGGGGGGGGGGGGGTGATGTCATTATGTTGACGTAATATATTAATAAAACATAAATTTCTAAGACTGCCCATCTATGGGGGGGGGGGGGGGGTGATGTCATTATGTTGACGTAATATATTAATAAAACATAAATTTCTAAGACTGCCCATCTATAAATAAGTGTTTATGATGCTCCTGGACAACTGCTTTGATTTGTGGGGAGGTGGGGTGGGGACAGCAGGTAGGTGTGTGTGTGGAGGGGGAGGGTCATTATGTTGACATAATATATTAATAAAACATAAATTTCTAGGGCTGCCCATTTTTAAATAAGTGTTTATGATGCCCCTGGACAGCTATTTTGATTTGTGGGGAGGTGGGGTGGGGGTAGCAGGTGTGCGTGTATGGATGGGGGGGGTACATTTGGCGGGAAGTGAGTTCACGTTGATAATTTTCTTAGAGCTTGGTAAAAACATTATTTTTAATTCCACTGCACATCATCTCTAAATATGTGTACACGATTACCGTTGTATAGGGGAGGGTAAATGTATTTTGGGGGACAGAAACCACTTGGTTCAAAATTGACCTGAAATGTGTTTTCTCGAGTTTTCGTTCAGTGCCAATATCGTCATTCAAAATATTAAATTATAATGGTACTTTTTGAGAGATCTGGAAATTTACATAAAAAACACATGTTTAGATATTAGTTTATTCTTATAATATGTGCGGGATAGATATCCTCTTGATGGCTGATCAACAGCCTGTGTATATCCTTTGGATATGCTTCAGATACCCATTCATCTTGTTCCATCATTAATTTTGCAACCTGTCTCCATATTGTTGCAACATAATTATTGCGTTCAATGTGCAGCAAAAGACTACTCGGGCAAGATGGCAATAAAGAAAGAAAGTTTTGTTATTTTTCATCACAATTAAAATTTCTCCAGAAGATCTTTCTTCTAGTGTCATCTACAAACAATTTTTTCTAAACCAGCAATTACGTCATCAGAAGCATCATTTGTCTATCCCAGCTCTTTAAAAATTGTTAGAAAGTTAGGATTATCTTGAAAAAGAAAGACAGATAGTCATTACCACTGAAAGCATGTACCGTAGGCCGAGATATTCTCGACACTTTCAATACTAATCTTGATTGGATCAAAAAATATCAAGATTAGTATTGAAAGTGTCGAGAATATCCTAGAACTGACAACCTACCACAAGGACACCAAAATATCTTACCTACTCCTATTCGCAAATTAATGGAGGTGCTGAAACAAATTGTATTTTGCATTCTTGCTCGGGCGAAATAGACATCCCAATCATTCTCTTCGCAAACGATAATCCAAATATACAAATTTTGATCGATAATGAGACGGGCAAAGGTAGAAAATATCGCGAAAGACGACTTACATCACTAGATGACGCTAGAAAAAAGATTTTCTGGGTGAAAAAATAACAGACCTTTCTTTATTACCACCTTGCCGTATACGTGGTCTTTTGCTGCATGACTGGAATGAAGATTTACAATGTGAATTGGTTCCTGCATCATATCCAAAGGATATGCGAGCTGTTGGCCAGCAACCAAGAAAATATTTATCTCGCTCATACATGTATGAACCTTTCATTTTGAATCTTCTGATGAAGACTAATAAGAATAAACTAACAACTAAACATATCTCTGAGTTAATGTGTTTTTGATTTACATTTCCAGATCTCTTGAAAAGTACCATTATAATTTAATATTTTGAACGAAAACGCTAACGAGATACCACTTTAAGCTCATTTATGAACAAAATGAGTTCTGTCTACAAAAACACATGTTGCCACCCGCCATCACCCGCACCGCCCCCCCCCCCCCCCCAAGGCGGGCACTCACCCCGGCGTCTCCCCCATACAATAGGAATCTTATAAACGTATTTAGAGATGTTTCATCAAGCTCTTAGAAAATCATCATTTAAATCAACGTGAATTCATTTCCTCGCCAATTTTATCCCCACCCCACCCCTCCACACGCGCACACCTGCTACCCCCCACCCCACCTCCCCATAAATCAAAACAGTTGTCCAGGGGCATCGTAAACACTTATTTATAGATGGGCAGTCCTAGAAATTTATGTTTTATTAATATATTATGTCAACATAATGACATCACCCCCCCCCCCCCCCATTGTAGACATTTGACCCCCTATATCTCGAAAACGCCTCCTCAAACGCCTGATCACCAGCCAGATTCGGAATCTACGCAATAAACTGGTCTAGAAAAACTTGGTCTCATAAATTCACAGCTCGGGTGGCGATTCCCCCCCTTCAGCCACCGGACTACATTGGTAATTTTACAAGATTCAATGATTTAATCAAGGACAAATTTCTTTGTTTCACTAATCTGAACAATGCATGTTATTTTCAAACTGATCATTGCTCAGAAGATCACAAGATTATACAAAGTGATCAAGGACAATAACTCAGGAAGTTATTATTTATTATAAGAAATTGCTCAAGTCAATAGGCTTCTTTGTTTCACTAGCATAAACAACATATATTTTGGCAATAAATGTAATGTGTAGTGTACTCACACTAAATTGCGGACGATGATGGACAGACGAGGACAGTATACAACCACATTTCAATGTGGGAGTGCAAAAGATGATATTATTTTCAATCTAGCCTGAGCTGGTAGCAATTTTAATGTAGATTTATATACAAAACAAGCATTTTAAAATGTATTAATATTTCACAACCTTTATGAACTCTGTACCAAAGGTCACATAACCAGAATTTGGACATACTTATAGAGAAGTCAGTCAACTGAGATAAAGCACAGTTCAGTTTTTTTATATATAAATAGGTTGGTAAACAAAGTACAATTATATCATGTTAGATAAATATACATAAAAAAATAAATATTCTTAAGATTACAGTAATATTGTACACAAATGAATTACTTGTCGTAAATTGTTTTTGGAAAATATTTTGAATAAACAACTTGGCTTAATCAAACAGAGACAATTGAATCTATGAACGCTGTCATGGAACCAACTAATTAAAACTTATGTACATGTACAATGCTGTTTAAGGCCAAACCCCTTGTTTTTAGTTCTTGGGAATTTGATTAATTAACCATAAGTGGGGCTTATTGTAAACCTTACAACTGAGAGCAACTGGCATTTCGGCAACTGGGAGCAACTGAATGAGACTGAAAAAGGTTGATTTGCGTGTCTGTTACAACTCCAAAGCAACTACTTCCAGTCAGTTAAAGCCAGTTGCCCATGCTTAACTCAAGCAACTAGTGGCAACTATTTGCCGTCGACACCAGCACTCTAACAACTGGTGTCCACTTGTTTCCAGGGAAATAACATCACATGATTAGTGACATGTTATGTGACTTTATAAATAGGCAAAATAGAAGCGAACAAAGGCATCCACTTTCAAATGTAGATGATGTTGGCAATAATGTAGTAATATAATTTGGTCAAGATCAATTCAGTTGCCCTCAGTTGCTGATATGATCAACATAAGCACACTTTCAACTGGTTGAAAGCAGTTTCTCCCAATTGCAAAGTCGACATAAGCTCTGCTATAGGCCCTATATGCACATGAGTGATTCTTATCTTTTAATGGCACAAAAATTGGGAGTAAACAGTATACAAGAAGACAAAATTTTTTGGTTTTAAATTTCTTTTTTTCTCCAAGAAATAGGACATAAAAGTTTACTAGCCTGTGTTTCCAAATCAGTTTGGCCTGCTATTAAAGATTTTGTGTGCCACATTTCTTCTTTCATGTTTGTCTTTAACTTTCACACATATATGTACTTTAAATTGATAAAAGGGAAACTGAACATTCCACAGGAATATAATAAATACAACAATGACCGATTGAAGTAAGAATAGTATTGTTTTATCATTTATGTCATACACAATTGTCACAAGGTCAAAGTTTTGTCACATGTATGTGAGTCACAATAGTGAAAATGTCCATAAATTTTCCATAGAATTCAATTAGTAAAGACAACATACACAAATGGAAAATATACAGTGAGATTTTGTATATATGTATAACATGAACAAAGACAACCCTTAGTGGTATATACCAAAATCACATGTAAGGGTACCCAAAATATGAGAGTTTTGGATTTAAAATCTTAATTAAAACCAGCTACATGTATATGTACAGTATTCTATCAACTTTCCACTGGTTCTTATTTAATACAGATTACAGACAGCTGGGAACGTATTCTTGAAAACCTAATTTCATGGATTTTAATGTGCTCTCATTTCATTGACCGATACTGATAGGTGAGATCTGTTATATGACAACGAAACATATGCCGACAGCAACTAAGATGTCTATTCTGAATTTTTAAGTGTAAGATAGGAGACAAGGCAACAACAGAAGGTAAGGTGACAAAGGGAAATAACTATGGAAGAGATTATTAAAAATGGATGTAGTTTATTGAGTATTCACAAGAAAGTTTGGATGCCTGACCAACTGATCGTTGGATAGGCGCGTGGGTGTGCTCGCTATACAAAAGGCTATAAAAAGTTAGCAAGCTAATTCTTTAAAGTTTTAATAAATAACTCCTTAAATATACATGTACATGCTGGAGTAATTGCATGTATATCTTCTGGTACAGATGAAATTTAATGAACTATAACATGGGTGTACAATTTCACTTTTGGGTGTCATGACAACATTTACTAGCCCTACAGAAAAATACACCTGCCCTGAATATAAAAATAAGATGGTTTGTTTTTATTCATTTTAATGACTAAACATGAAAATAATCATCAAGAATGTTATGATCAAAGGCAACACCGGTATCACTAACAATATCATCAACAATACAGTCACTTGAAATATTATCTGTTACTGTTGTAGTGTTTTGACATGCTTCAACATCAAAATATTTTTTTGAAAATGATGCGGGGCATGATAACGGTGTACTTGCTTAGTTTTATTTTGGAGCAAAAGATATTTCTCCATTTACATGTATTGGTCAAGAAACAGACAAAAGAGAATCATCCATGTTTTTTTTTTTCTATACTGGTATGGATCTAATTTATTAAATGCCATTTTCATTGGAAGAAGGACCCACATGATAAGGAGAGTGTGATATTTTGACCAATGAAAATCGATTCTATAAAGGAATGTTGTCATTCAACAATACTCTTATTTTTGCAAAGCTATTTTCAGTACCGGAAGCACAGTCGCATGCTTAGTTGTGACTGAAATTTGTCTATTCATCTATTATTATTGTGCGGACTGGAACTAAAATGCTGTATTGTTTTATTTCAATTTGAATAAATATCTGTCAGAGAAAATCTGCTTGTCCAACAGAGTGATTAACCAGTCCGGGACGCCACGCGATAGGAATTGTGCACCACTGTTATAACAATAAGTATTCTTACCCGCAAATGGTTTCTTGTAACCACCTTGGTTCTTTACATAATGGCATATCTAAGGAATGTAACTCAGCTAGTTTTTTAGCTATTAATTTGATTATATTTGGTTTACACAAATCTGTACGTTTTAATGGTCTCGTCTGAAATATAAGAAATAAATGATTAATATACAATTTAACAATATACAAGTCAAAAGAGCAACATATTTATTTTATTATACATAAAATAAAACCTACATTTCATTGACAACGTAACCTCCACGTTGACAATTTGCTCTGCATTAAATTTTATTAGGTTATAGTTAAATGATGTATATATACACACATGTACAAGTGTACGAACACATTTCATTGTATGCGTATAAAAATAGATAAATTAAATAAAATCAACAGATTGAAATAAATGTACCGGTAATAATATCATAAAAACCCATGCCTTGATCACCTAATAAAACATTTTTCATGTCAATGAAAGAAACGATCACTTGGCAACAAAATAGGCTGTTCCCATTTGGAAATGCACTGCAAATGTGGAATTCTACTATGACTCTATATGAAAATAGGTTTTTCAACCATGCACCTTTGAATCTGAATTGATGAATCAATAATAATATTTTTATGAATATCAACAACTACAATATTAAAGGAGGCGAGTCTCTAACACAATATCAACCACAGGCAATAATTGTTTAGGAGTAGTACTTACTGGAATATATTCTTCTAATCTGCCGGTAGGATAAATACCATATAATTTTGGTCCAAGATCTTTCTCTGAGAGAATGGCAAATACGACGGAATTAAATATCACAAAAGATTTACTTGTTTTGGCAATGTGTCCATAAATACGTAACATCACACGATCTGGTTCATTACCTAAAGGTTTTAGTCCCGGGGAGAGGTAGCACAAATACAGATAATTTGAGAGTCCACCACTGAAAAGAGAAAAAGTATAACAAAGACTTAATTAACTAAAAATAATAGCATATTCAATGCCTAATTAACTGAAAATAATAGCATATTCAATGCTTAATTAACTGAAAATAATATCATATTCAATGCTTAATTAACTGAAAATAATATCATATTCAATGCTAAAATACCACCCACAACAGCTGTGTCATCCCGGCAGTCCACAAAGCTCATTATATTTTTATTCTTTTGTAGGTATTTATAATGGGAGCATTATAGATTCGGTTATAGGATATTTAATAATAATAATAATAATAGTTTATTTTTATATAGCTTTCTACACAATTCGTTTCGGAACCGCTTTACAAGAGTTAAAAATTAGGTGATAGACATAATCACAAAATCAAATAAAAATATAATGTATAAGATACCTATAAATGATAATAAAATAAAATAAAATGAGATATAAGTTAAAACGTTAAATGAAAATGATGAGAGATAAAGTGAGATATTTAAGTTAAAACATTAATTATTATAAAAGCCATCCAATTATTATAGTGTACAAAGTAAAAATTTTAGGGTAAAAGTTGCCTGCTGAATAAATGGGTTTTAAGACCACGCTTAAATGAACTTAGTTCCCTTTGCCGACGAAGATGTTGTGGGAGGTTATTCCATAGGTATGGCGCTATGGTTGAAAAGGCTCGCCCTCCGTAATTTTTATTGGTGTGTTTAGTGTCTGTTCTTACGAGAGCGTAGAGTTCGGAATTGTCAGATCTTAAGCCTGACCTTCCAGGAGTGTACAATTGAATCAGATCACGCAAATATACAGGTGCCTGATTGGATCAACACTTGTGAACTAATAATATAATTTTGAATTCGATACGCTCCCGAATTTTAAGCCAGTGATGGTCATACATGTAAATGATAGGAGTGATACTATCTCTACAGTTTACTTGTGCTACTAAACGAGCTGCCGAATTTTGAATTGATTGTAGTCTGTCTAGTTGATAGTTGGGGATTTAAGATTTGAAGGAAGATTTAAAATGGACCACTTCCGTTTTGTTATCGTTTAAGATCAGAAGGTTTGATTTCATCCATTGTCTGATCTCCCGTAGACATGTCTGCATAATGGAAGACACATCTGATGGTTTATTACAGACCATATATAACTGGGAATCGTCAGCATATAGCATACATTCAAGGCCATGACGTATAAATATTTCTTCTAGTGGGGTAGTGTACAGAGTGTGTACAGAGTAAATAAGACAGGTCCGAAAGCTGACCCTTGTGGTACGCCAAAAAATTAAATCCGCTGACTTAGAAGTGTTTGACCCGCACACCACAGTTTGACTTCGGCCTGTGAGGTATGACCTAAACCAGTTCAAGGCAGTGCCAGTTACCCCAAAACAACACTCTAGGCGTTTCAACAGTACCGTGTGATCTAACGTATCAAATTTAAGGTTTGATTTTTTAACAAACAAGGAAATCTAAAAGGAAGATCAAATGAGAACTACTGCCTTAAAACATTCATGGGCTTCTTCGTTTAATCAAAGGAAATTGTTAAAATTTATTTGGCTTCTTCATTTCACTAATTTAAATGCATATAATAAATGCAGATCACATAATGTCATTGGAGAGCATTCACAATATTTTACAAAGTGAATTACAAAGGCAATAGCTTGTGGGACCTGTGGACAATGGATGGATGAATGGGTGTGTACTTGTGTACAAATTTGTACCTGTTTTGTCTTCAGGTCTGACAGACATACTGGACAAATCATTACACACCGATACTTTGTTATTGGATCTCAATCAAAATAAATCAACACCTAGCCTATTACCAGTCTTATATTTATCTAGATTATAACTGTTATATTTTAATTTAGCACATCTTTAGCATGTAACTATTATAGTTTATCTAGAGTATAACTATCATATTTTAATATAGTATAGTATAACTATTATATGTTTATCTAGCATATCTTTAGCATATAACTATTATAGTTTATCTAGAGTATAACTATCATATTTTAATCTAGCATATACCGGTAACTACTATATTTTAACCTAGCATTTAACTACATGTATTATATTTTAATCTTGCAAATAACGATTATATATTCTAATCTATGACTTATATTATTGGTTAAATCTTCTGAACTACAATATCAGCAAAGTGTTTTAGAACTTAATATTACATTTTTTTATTGTCTAACCATGTCTGTTTAACCTAACAACAAAAATGTTAACTATCCTAACTATGATAATTATTGACAAGTTCAAGTTGAAAGATATAAAGTGGACCTAATCCATTTAATTCTTGGCCTTTGATATTAAACTATAATGAGCAACCCTTGTCCACTCTGGAATCTAATATGAAATATATTATCTGTGGTATATCAAAGTTCAAGAGTGAAGATATTATCCTGTGTGATTTAAACCCTTTCACTTGGAGAACCAGTAGACAGATAACATGGTTTCATGGACAGGGCAGTGTCTTAGTACTATCTACATGCACAATGTAGTTCTATCCCATATTAGCAAACTGAAACAGTCTGGCATTAACAGAGTCAAGACAATCACATTTTTCTTTTAAAAAAAAGGCTGATTTTATTATACAACATACAATCATACCCAACACAAGCGTTAAAGCGGAAACTGCAAATTTTTAAGTTATATTTTTAAAATTTATTAAAATAAAGCCCTAAAATAGATGGTATCCATAAACAGTCCTACCTTGTTAAAGAAAAAACCTATTAATCCTATAATTCACTATTGCCAGCTGAGAAATTGGCAAAAATATCATTTTCCTCTTCATTTACAAACGTTTGAAAAAAAGCTACTCCATGGTGGAGAATAGAAAACAGGGAGGTAATTGTGTTATTATTTCCTGTGTAAATGAGTTTTCAGTGTGAGAATGACACCTATGATCGTATAATTGTGAGTTGACAACCTATTGAGCAAAAGACATAGAAATAATTACGTTTTGACTTTCTTAGAAAATTTGCAATTTCCGCTTTAATAATCACAAATTAATCAAAGCGGAAAAACTGCAAAGATGCAGACATTCTATATACAGGAGAAAGGAGAAATGCTGGACCTAACATTTGGATAACTATCTAACCCAAAATTAAAATAATAAGAGTAGGCATGTTTGGAAAAAATTTTATTTTTCATTTTTGAGATGCTACAGGGCTGAGGTAATATAGGCAATAATAATGTAATCATTACATTTTTTACGTTATGGTCATGTAATGAGTAATGAGTGACTCATTAGTAAACAAAATGAGCATGCTGCATTGCTGCAAGGTAAAAATTAATACCTGTACAGCAAGATTTATCTCAACATCATTAACAATGCTCTGGTAGACAAGAGAGCCACAGGAGAACATCTTTTAAGATGTTCTTCTTGTTTACTGTAACCTAAACCTTTATTAACTTATTAACTGACCTGACTACAATCGCATGCCCACAACCCAATCACTTTGTTTCAGTGACAAGTAAGTAAGTAATCTTTATTGTTGAAAGTTACATAACTTATAGCAAATACTGAAATGAAATGGGGTTTAATGTCCTACTGTTCTGCTCCTAACCTGGGCTAATGAAGACGCATATAGCAAATACAATACATAAATAAATACAAAGGTGATGTAAAGGTGACAAACAGCCACACATCTGTTTTGTTTCATGTGTGATCAGTGATTGTCCAAGTGAAGTCCTACTGATGGGTACATTTTGTGTACACTTTCCATGGGTTACTATTGTCATAAAATCCAGAAAACAATATAAAATTCCATTCTATCACTTGATTTTAGACAAATACTGTACCACCGTGGGTTTTATTTTAATTAGCTACTATAAAAAAATAATATAATAGGAAGGATTTGGATGTTTATATTGTTATGTTTAATGTCCAATCAATAGTCTATTCTAGAATTTTGCTTTTATTGTATATAGATCTAGTGCACTGGAAGGGATGAATACTTCTTACGAAAAAGGAGTTTGTAACCAATATTAAAAAACAGATCAAAAAATAGTCAAAATAATCCTTGATGCTTCAATTAGTTTATACACAACATTTCTATGTTTGACAAGGATGAACACCAAAAACCAAATCTATATATCCAGTAGACATGCCTTCCTTAATATTGAGTGTTAATATTAATATTAATATATATACTGGATTAAAGATAACCATGACATGGTAAAATGGGTTCTAATCTATATATAGCCAGGAGATGCTCCACCATTTATAATAAGTGTCATGTCATGGTACAGTATGCTACAGTCACTATAACAGATAGTCTTATATTACTGCTTATTGGTTTTGTTGCACTTTTGCATTTTTAGTTATATGTATCAATCAAGGCGCATAAAATGTTGCACTTAAGCCACAATAAATTTTAATTTCTGTTCTTCGGGAACATGTATTACAATTTTTGCCTCCAATTTCATTAGGAAAAAAAACTAATTTCAGAACCAAAAGCACTTAGTTGTTCTTCTCAAAAGCTTTTAGTTGCAAATATTTTTGAAATTTTAACATTGCTCACAAGAATTGACTGGGCTTAATTTGTTTGTCCTTAGTTTTTTTAAATTTTACTTTTACACCAGTTTGATTTAAAGATGAAATAAAGGTGCAAACAGAAAATATTCTAAATGCATTCGTGTTTTTCATATTCTCAAACGTGGTTTCCCCTTGTCAGTGGTGCAGAACGGAGGGCCTGACAAGGACAGCTGTCTAGTCCTTCGGATGAGACGAAATGCACGTAAAAGATCCCTTGGCAGTTGGAATTCGATATAAGAGTAGGCGATAGTGCCGCTGCCCGGGCAAAATTTCCCTCATAGCACACTGTATGGCGTATGCCCGTCTTCATTAGCCCAGTTTAGGAGCAGAACATTAGGACGTTAAACCCCATTTCATTTCATTTCATATTCTCAAATATTTATTCCTAACATTGATCATCATGTAGTATTGATGTATACAATTAAAAAACGGAAGAAATTAATGATTTGCTTTGTGTAA